TAGTTATATGATTGTTTGGAACTGGTTGCGCTAGCCCTGAATCAACTTTGCTCAAGAGTCGTCGAAGCGGTCGGTTATGTCGCGCACTTCCGCCTGCATGGCTTCCCTCGTTCGCTGGCGCCCAGGACCATGTTGGTTGGAAAAGATCACGATCCTAGGGTGCCGGGTGTGAGGGTGCACCATGTAGCTCAAGTCTAAATGGGGGGTCTCTGAAAATAGGGGACCCTAATCTAGTACCGTAAATAGTAGGATCCTTATCACAAGGACCCCAAAATAAGGCACCCTATTTTTCGGAAACGCCAAAATAACCAAGCACATGAACCCCCAAACGCCCCAACCCTAAACCCTAAACCCTACACCCTAAACCCTTAACCCTTAAACCCTAAACCCCTAACGCCTAAACCCCACACGAGTGCCAGGCTGCTTTGGGAGTTGGAACTGGAGGAATTAAGCGTCTTGTACCCAACGGGTCCACAGGGTTTAGGGTTTAGGGTTTAGGGGTTAGGGTTTAGGGTTTAGGGTTTAGGGTTTAGGTCCCATAAAACCATGCTGATTATGGGTTTGGGGGACCTGATGCCAGAATAGTAGTATGCATGGACCCTCTAGGATGGGTAGGAGGCAGGGGAGCACGAGCTGTGATTGTGTGACATAGAAGCTGAAAAGCCACCACATGAATTAGTGCTTCCCAGAAGCTTCGAACCTCCTTGATTCGTGGAAGATCATGTCTTGACTCATGACCAAGGATCATGCGATCTCCTAAGATATCTTGCTTATCGCTATAGACATAGATTCAGACACAGGTTTGAGTTTGATATCGGCATAGATGTAGGCATGGGTATATACCCCTTTGGTGAGGTCAGCTCACAAGAGCTTTACCTCTAAACCCTCAGCGCCAGCCTCTGAAGCCGGACTACGTGAAGCTCCTGCACCCTCAAGTCGGGTTTAGGGTTTAGGGTTTAGGTTCAGGGTTTAGGGTTTAGGGTTTAGGGCAAAAAACAAACCTCCTAAACCGACTGAAAATGATAGGACCCTACACCCTAGACACTATTCAAAATCCCATCCTATCCTAAGCCCTAATGTAGGGGCCTCAGTAATTAGAATAGGGTTTTGGGCTCCTTTATAGTACGCACATAAGGAACCCCAAAAATATCCCAAAATAGTATTGTTGATTTAGGCCCCTCGATTACCTAGCTGACTGAAATTGGAATCTGGGGTGCCGATATCCTTGCTGCTGCAGCCCGCGCAAGCGTGTGGGCACGTGCATGGCGCTCAGCTTCCAGGCAGAACCCCCATGATGCCTTCGGAATCGGATCTAACTTTCGGGTCTACCCATAGGCCCCATAGTAGTCCCTTTGTGGGATTACCTTATAAGATTCTACATATGAACCCCCAAAACGAACTACTATGGGGCCTATGGGTAGTAAGGCCTTCCCGTTCGGGTTTCCATAGGGTTCGGCAGGATTGGAGGGTTTCAGCGCGGAGTGTAGAACCTCCTGAACAGCGTGGGTTTGAAATGAGGGTTGTATGTAAGGATTCTATAAAGTCTCTAACAGGAGCTCCTTCAGGGGTTCTGCAAGGATATTGCGGTTCAGGGTTTACCTGTGAATCCAAAAGCCCAATTCAGGCTGTATAGGGTTTAAGCGATGGCCAAAAAGCCCTAATACCCCCAAACTAAACCCTAAACGTTCAAATATGGCTTTATGACGGGTTGAGGCTATGGGTGTTTCGGGGTTCAGCGTTTTCGCATGGAGGTTGTAGGGCTTACAGCTTTAGATTTCCAGCGGGCTGGAGTTCATGGCTCCGAAGTAAGTCTGTAGTGCTTGGGGCTCGATAGGGTTTAAGGCTTGGGGTTTGGGGTTTAGGGTTTAGGGTTTGGGGTTTTGGGGTTTAGGGTGTAGGCGTTTTTGGCACGGCTCTTCCAAAGAAAGAAAACACAACAAAATACTTTCCGTGATGCAGAGCCCAGATGCAGTGTCTTGTCGAAGTCGAAAGCGGCTATCCTGGGATAGATGCCTAAACCCTAAACCCGAAACCCTGAACACTAAGCCTCAACCCTAAACCCGGAACTCTAGAATCCCAAAGCCTTAGACTCTAGACCTAGAGCCCTACAACCCTAAACCCTACAACCTAAACATGAAATTCCCTAAATCTCAAACTCTTGTGGCGCCAAATCTCCTGCTGCCCTCTGCTGCCTCTGTGCTTCGGTAGAGGCACCAGCCCTCTCCTGGTTCTCGGTAAGGACCACAAAGTAAAGGGTTGAGAGCTTCGGGTTCGGGTTTAGGGCTGAGAGTTGAGAGTTTGGGATTTAGAGTTTGGGGCCTGTAGGGTTTGGGATTTAAGGCTGCGCCTTTCGATTTACGGTTATATTACATGGTTTGGAGTTTCAGGGTTACGGTGACCTTTTCTGACCACCCAAACCACAAATCCTAAACTCTAAACCCTAAACTTTAAACCCCCACAAACTTAAATCTAACAAAATAGTTCTGACATGGGCCAGGGATCGATGCCAGGGCTTTCTCAAGGAAATCTCGGAGAAAAGCTTGAGTGCCTCCTGACTCATGTCATAAGCTTGTGGGTCGTTCTTTGAGCATTTTCAGGTCTATTCAATTCAACTTAGAATCATCGGGAAGTTGCAGTATCTACGACCTGCTTGAAGTGATGTGTGGTGTATTGAAAGCTTCTTCACAATTTGATGCGTCTGTTATTGGTCATCACTTCTTTGTCTGTGAGGCCTAAACCCCTGAACCCTGGACCCTACCCTAAACCCTAAACCCTAAACCCTAAACCCTAAACCCTAAACCCTGAACCCTGAACCCTGGACCCTAAACCCAACTTCCTGTGAAGGTTCATGGGTGGCAACTTCATGGCCTCCTGTCTACTGCTTTAGACTTTAGTTTAAGGCCCGCAAACACCACCCCAAGAGAGGTATACGGTTCAGGGTTTCCAGTTTAGGATGTAGGGTTTAGGGGTACTTCGACAGAATATGGCTGTAAGGGTCTGACGTTTAGATGTCCAAGTATATAGGTCTAGCATGTTTTGTACAGCCGCACTGTATAGCCCGTACGGTTATGCTAGACTCCGGAAACCAGGGCGCGGCAACCGGTGTCCTGGTTGCGCTGCAGAGCTCGCCTGGGCCCTTTGAAGACAGCCGTCTGGAGTGACATCGACGCAGTACATCGGCCACTACCAAGCCCAGGGTCTTGATTTGAAGAGTACCCTAAGGCTCTTATTGCTGTTGTGGCTTTCTAGGGGAAGGTTTGGGCTTTGGGGGCTAAGGTTTGGGCTTTCACTTTGGAAGTCCATGAGCCTTAGGGTATAGCTTTACTTGACCCAGCTTGAGGAATAGTAGCATTTAAAGGTTCTTGGCTTTCCTGTGTTGAGGAGGGGCTCGGTTTGATCCCACATGAAGCCTAGTTTGCGCTGTGGTGGGTTTGCGGAGAACCCTGATGCAGGGGTGCGGATTCACCGATGTTCAATGCTAGCTCATTCCTCACACCACAGATTTGCTGGGGAATGTGGTTGCAGACCTTGACACCATGCATTCCGCTGTCACAGCAGCGACCCCAAACCTGCACCTGGCCCGAAACCCAAATCGCAAACACCCGATACCCCAGCCGTAGCCCCTAAACGTCTGTAAGCCCTGCAAGCCCCCTGAACCCCACAACACAAGTCGCAACTAAAACCCTCTCAGCCAAATGCTTCCAGGACGAAATTCCACTGCCCATATCTTTGGGGCTTATGGCTTCAGGGCGACAGGGTCAATGACATGATCACAACTTATCTCGGTGGCTCTGTTCCCAACCCTAACCCTAACCCTCAAGCCTAATATAGGGGGTCTAAGTAAACAGAATAGGATTTGCGGTTTATTCCACTGTATAATTATAATAAGGAGCCCCCAAAACCCTAAACCCTACATTAGTCCTCATTTCCGAGCCCCCAACTTTGAGGATATCTTCCCAGCCCCGTAAATTTAAGCCCTACACCCATTAGCTAGGCTCCACTGTTTAGGGTTTATTGTTTAGGGCTTAGGGCTTAGGGGTTTAGGGTTTAGGGGTTTATGGTTTAGGGCTTAGGGTTTCGGGTTTAGGGGTCTGGGGGTTTAGGGTTTAGGCTTTAGGTTTCGGGCTTAGTATCCAGGGAGGCTGGGGTGTGGCAGGATTTTTGGGGGTTTAGAAGGTTTCGAATGAGTGTTTATAGGGCTTAGGCGTTTGGACATACAGGCCTTACCAATTTGAATCGGGCTTCTGGGTTTTATAGTACATGAGTATATAGGGAGTTCAGCAGGTTAGTCTTACAAACTTCTCTCAGTTAGCCCCCTCATACTAAGGATGCCCCGTCCCTCTTGCTTGAATTTAGGGCATCCCCTTATACTGAGAGACATAGAAACTATTTGTTCAAAACATGACGCCCTAAACCCCAAACCAAAAATCCGTACACCCCGAAACCTCAACCCTTCCTGGTAACACTGAAACCACACCCATGTATTACCCTTAAACCCTGAAGCCCCCACGGGAACCCTTAAACATAAATCTGTATCAGGAACCCTTAAACCCTGCATGAAACCCTCCAAAACCCACCACCACCGACGATACCTCCCTGACTCGGTGATTAATTCAAGAAGAACTACCAGTATGTCTAGCCCCCTAAAATAAAACCTAGACCCTAAACTAAAAGGAGCCCAGGCTGCCCCCTAAACCCTAAACGCTAAAAAACCCTGGAGCCTAAACTAAAAAGAGCCCACACTGCCCCCTAAACCCTAAACCCCAAAAAACCCTAGACCCTAAACTAAAAAGGGCCCAGGCTGCCCTCTAAACCCTAAACCCGAAAAAAACCCTAGACCCTAAACTAAAACGAGCCCAGGCTACCCTAAACCCTAAACCCTTAAACCCTAAACCCTAAACCCTAAAAAAACCCTAGACCCTAAACCCTAAACCCTAAAAAAAAAACCTAGACCCTGAACTCAAAACGAGCCCAGGCTGCCTTGCTCCCCCCCACAAGGCCTGGTTCGAGGAGCCTCTCATCTGAACCGTCACTGCACCTTGGGGCTATCAGGCTTCAGGGTTAGGGTTTAG